ATTATAACCATTCTCCTTCTTTCTTACCTAATTCTCACTGCCTTTAATCATTCCCTTTCCTTCTTACCTAAGTCTCACCACGTTTAATCATCCAAACCAGGTCCATTCCTCTTTGTTTCCAACCCACACCCTTAACTCATCACTAAGAACTCTCCATTTTCAAGGCTATCCATTTCCCCCTTATTTTCTTTGTTTGGGGTTATCAAAATGAAAATGATATGCATATAATATTATTTATTTGTATACAGTAACTTTTATTTATAATTTTTATTTATTTTTAATTATATTTATTTAAGATAATTATCTTTTTTTATATTAAAAATATGATAAGTTTCAACTATTGAAAATGGTAATTATAATATAGTTTATATATATACTCTCATATAAAAATAGTACTTATTCATTTTATCTCTAAAAATTAAGAGAAAAATTATTCAAAAATTATATTATTTCAACAAACTTTCATTAAAAAAATTAAAATACCTTATTTTTAAGATATAAAGTAGAATGTTTTTTATCTTCTTTCATAGTGTTTTATTGAAATAATGTAATTTTAAAATAATTTTTATTTTAATATTTAAAAAATAAAGTAAATAAACACTAATTCTTATATATATAATTCTTTATTTTTTATTTTAAATTACATAATAAAAAATAATTCTCTTTCATTCTTCCTCTCACTTCACCTCCGTATCAAATAACTTGAAGTTAAGATTTTTTATTGCTAATAAAAAAATTATATTAAACTACTTAAATTATTAATAATCTTAATGTATTTTTACATGGCAATAACTATTTCAACTGAGTACCAATTTGGTGTGATTAAAGTTTTTAATAGAAGTTTTGTTGAAAAAAAAGTTGTTGTAGAAGTACTGTTTTTATAAATAAAAAAAATAAAATAAAATAAGAATTATGTATTAATTTTATTAAAATTCAAATAAAAAGTTTTTACGGAAGCACTAATGCAATGCTTATAAGATTTGTAATAAAATGGATAAAAAAAATTAACTTATGAAAAATTGTAATATTTTTTTATAAATTATAATATTTAATACAGTTAAAATTTTTAAACTTTAAAAAGAACTTTTCATCGGTTATTTTAAACATACACTAAAATTAGTTTTCTTTTTTGAACGATGTAAAATTGTAAAATTAAAAAATAATTACAATAATACTACAATTACAACTTAAACACTTAACAAGGTAAGAGTTATTGCAGACTCCATGTGGTTCAAGTTATTATGCTGCCTTGGGCAGCAGGTGATTTACATCCTTAAACGGTTTTAACCTTTTCACCATCAAATACTAACACTACTTTTAATTAATTTTTAGTGTAAAAAAAAAATTAATAATAACCACAAGGTAAGAGTTATCGGTGTACTTTCGTCGGGGCTGCTCCAACAAAAATTCGTTGAATGGTGCAATCGCCATAAATAGGGAGCTTTGTAGTCCTTAAACTTTAAAGGTACCAACCGGGTCCCAGCACGTGGCTTTGTCCTGGTGCACAGGTCTCTCGTGTCAACGTTCTTTGATTTCGACAACTGTTAAATACGCTGTAACAGATAACTTTCAATAGGTCCAATGCTTTCAATTGCGAACCGTGACTGAGACGCAATAGGTCGTACTCAAATCTTAAGGTTTAAATGCGATAGAAGTTAGGGTTTTGAATCCTATTATCGTAAATTTTATCAATTTATAATTTAATGGTCATATATCTTATTTAAAAGAGTAAAATATTTAATATTTTAAAATTTTTAATTATTAACAACTAACTCATATTAATTTTTTAATTATTATCTTTGTCAAAAAAAAAACTTTAAATTAGTTTTTAACTTATTTAATTAATTTTTATTAACGTATTTTTCCTTGCCTTTCCCTTTTTCCATAAATTTTT